GTACTTGGAGCCCTCAAATCGAAATTTGGACAGTGTACTAGGCTCCAAGCACACAAACAGCCAAACATTCACCCACATACTTAATCGAACACCCCCCCACACTTAAGCACGACATTGTCCTCAATGGAGGAAAGATAAGGAGGGTAGAACGAAGTTACCAGATCAAGGGTGAATGATGATGTACGGGTCAGGCGGTGCATTCCAGGAAGAGAGAGTAATCAGAACACAAACACCACACCAAATCTCACAAAGGTTGAGTTATTGACTCTAAAATCAAATAACAAAACTGACTCAACCGAGGATAAATAGAGAAAGAAATGCAAACCGACTGGTTGGGTTGCCTCCCAACAAGCGCTTCTTTCACGTCGTGAGCCGGACGATGGCTCCTAAGTTTCGGTCCATGCTAGAACCTCCTTGAAGTTGAGGTTCTCATCTATGAGGTGGAGTCTCAAGTCACAAGCAGGTGGTGTGGCAGGTGATGAAGGCTCGTGCACTTGATGCAGATGAAGTCTCCACCCTCGAGACCTCTTCTTCTCTTCTCTCGTCTCATTGCCCCAAACCAGATAAGACAGCATCGATTGGCCACCATCGCGTCCACCAAGAGGGACCGATGTCGATGTGGCCTTGGTCTGGCAAAGAGACACTGCAAATGGGTCCTTGCCAAGTAGCTCCTCGAAGTTTGGTGGAGATATCACATGTAACTCATGGCCGGTGCAGGCCTCTTCCACCTTAACTCCGTCCTCAGCCTGGACGCCAATTTCTTCTTCAACCTCCCTTTCTTCTACATGTGGTATCACCCCTGGGAAATGATCAATAACTCCTCCTGCTTCACTTTCGTCATCCTCCACAACTTCTTTCTGCACCCTTTCTTGCTCTTCTTCTTCTAGCACGGATTGGAGAGCAAGTTGCCAAGAAATTTCTTTCATGAGATCTTCTTGCATCTCCTCACTCATGCCCGCCTCTTCAAAGCTCGGTGTGGGATGTGGGAAGGTGTGGTCGGCTATGATAGGACATTCCTGATCATGATCATCACGAGAGCTCTCCGTGACAGCTTCAGTGTGCTCCACAATGTCCTTGTAGCCTTCTTCTTCCTCCTCCTCTTCTAGTATGGTAACATAAGGGTGATCTAGAGCAGGTTGTGCACAAGATCGCTCAAGATCATCGACGCTATTTTTAAGGCTCAGGAGGATTTCCTCTGTTTCACGATAGGCCTGGACACAATGATCCATCCTGGAGCATGATCTCTCACAGTCTCGAGCAAACTGCTCCATGAGAAGCCTCAATTCATAGTTTGGATCTGGCTGTGGAGTGTAGCATGGCTCTGCAGAATGGCCCGTGAAGGCCGCCATGGGTAACTCCAGCTCCAATGACCCCTCTGGTTGTGGGAGAAATTCTTCTTGATAAGGAGGTTGTTCTTGATATGCCCAGGGGTCTGATTGTTCTCCGTAGAAAGGGGTTGGTACTGGAACCCGACTCCATAGTCTTCTCCTCCTTGGTTACTCCATGGAGTCTCGGGGTAATACCACTCGGATGGTGGTGGATACCCCCAATGATTGGAGAAGCCATGAGGGTCCATGATTCAGATCTGCACCAACAAAAACAAAAAACACCCAAGTGAAAAGCAAGGGCGGAAAACAAAAGAAAAACGCTAAAGTAATAAACTTCTGCCTTTCCTAATAATCTAGAAAGTCCCCGGCAACGGCGCCAAAAACTTGACACGCTAAAACACAACACCTAACAATGGCCAAGTGTAACCAATGAAAGGGACTGCAGTATACTGGCACAAGTAATAGATATCGAATCCACGGGTCTCTAGAGTTACTATTACTCAGCTTCAGTTCATTATCTAGCAAACTAGATTAAGGATTGATTGATAAACTACTCTACTGACTACTCTACTAATTACAAGTTGGGAACTCACTTAGGTATGATTCCCCCTAGCTCCTCAATTAGGTCCAAGTCGCAATTACCTTTGGTTGATCTACTGCTGATTAAACTGCGGAAGATCCTAAATTAGCTTGGAATCTCTTAAGCTGACCAAGCCCTCTCAGTCCAACTACCCGGCAGACGACTAGTCTTCACCAGGATAGAAAGCTGAGGCTATGAACACAGAACTCCACTACCGGAATTGAATTCCAGTACAAAGCAGTAGATTGACTAACTCTCGTATAACCAATTCACCACTATCAATCAAGGAAGCACTCTTAACCTAATCAGATTCTATCTATCATAGGTTAAAGCAGAAACCAAGAGAATTTGATCAAGATTCAATTGACTCAATAAATCATGCCTCAATCGATTATAATCAAACAATAAAGCATCCAAAACTTCATACAAGAAAGATCCTAACTCATGGAACTAGGGTTCCTCAAAACCTAAGTGAAGGGAAGTTACTCCATAGAGAAGAGAGAGACTGCAGAAATCTGATCTAGATCTTCAATCTCCATCTCCAAGCTTGATTCCCGAGCTCCAATGGCGAAGAAATCCTCCAAAATAGCTCCAAGAATGTTTCCAAGTCGCTCTCTCTCTAGGGTTCGTCCCTTGGGTGTTTGGGATCCAAAACCCAGCTCTCCCCCTTTCCTTTTGCTGAAAATCGGGTTTTAAACATCAATTCCCGACTCACACGGCCAGTCCACACGGCCGTGTGGCTTTCCCAGCTGCCCGTGTGAAGGCTCGGTGAATTCCACACGGGCAAAAGTGCCCCTTGCACGGCCGTGTGGGTTGTGCCCGTGTGGCTTGCTCAGCCTCTGTTTAATGCTTCGTTTCTCCCTCGTCCGGACTCCGAATCAGTCGCCGTTTGATCCCAGACGCTCGTAGTCTCGTCCTCTTTCTTCTCATGACAAGCTTGCATGATTCTTTGTCCATAAAGTGAGGTAGAAATCCATTCTTCTTCAGGTCATACCCGAGTTTCTTCTCCCGAATCGTCAATTGATCTCTGATTGACTTGAAACTTGCGCCTATGCTTCACTTTATGTGCTAGGACCTGAAATGTGACAAAGGAACACAACCTAGCATAAAATAGGCCAAAGACACGATAATTCAAGCTGAAACAATCAAGAAACAAAGGGGAAAACATGTGCAAATACCGAGTCATCAGGGAGGCGTTTCTTCCTTTCAGCCTATGGGGATGCGCTTCTTCCTGGTCTGTCGAGAGCATTCTGTCTTTCAGCCTACTGGGAGGCGTGTCTTCTTTTAGCCTATCGGGAGGCGTTTATTTTATGACTTTGCGGGAAGCGCTTTGGAGTCTTTGAACAAATTGAGAGCTTAGCTTGGAAGGCATGAAATTTGATTTATATGCGGTTCTACGTTCGAAGCTTTCAGCCTACTGTGTCGGCGTGCTGTCAAGCTTCGCTCGTTGTAGGCTGGTTGTGGACCGGAATGTGGCCCATGATATGCTTGGACTACTGACCGGGATTGAGAATGGTTGAAAGGAGACTCGTTTGGAGTATGACGCGAGGTTGCGGCTTGGACTTGGCAGACGGGTCTTGTGACCGGACTGGATGTGGAGCGTGCCTGCATGGAGGTCTTGGAAGCTGAACGCTTTGTAGGTGACGGATTTGAGAGGTGGGCCGCCTTGAGATATAATGCGGGCTTAGTAGATTTGGAAAGATTGCTCCCCCGCGCTTCCTGTAATTTCCTTTTTCTCTGGATGAAGGGCTTTGTGGATCCGATACGGTCGCGTTGTGAGTTGAGCGGATCTAATGCGGTCTTCATTGAAAGGCTGGCCATGAGTCTTGTCTAAACTGGAAGCATGGTGGACCATAAGTGGCAGTTGATCCCCACGCGAAATGGAATGGGCTTTGGAGGCAGTCTTTTGCAAGAGTATGACGATCTGTAAGTTCGAGGCGTGAAGATGCCACACCTGCTGGGAGGCGGGATCGTGTTAGCTATACCGATGGCGCGCCTACTGGGAGGCGGTTTCGGGCTTCTACGTAGAGGGAAAGCATTGCTCAGGAAGCGGGATGCGGTTCTACATATGCAAAAGATGTGAGTGACTAGTGCCCCATATTTTTAGAGCACAAACATAAGCATAACATGCGTGAAATATGTCATAACATGATGGAAATGATTCTTTTCATGACATGCCAATTGAGATATATTTTGTTTAGCATGATTTGTAATAAGCATCTTCATGGCATATGATATAAGATATATCTTGGAAGGGTGAACTTAGCTATAAGAGACGCTGCAGAGAACCGTTGAAGTACTAGGAGTCGCATTATGATTCAAAAAGTGCCTTATAGTGGAGTGGAATGCGCTCCAGCTTGCTAAAGTCGCGTCATGTGTTCGATCCTTGTCAGACGCGTTCATGTATTCTTTTTGGTTAATGTGCTTTCTATCTTCCTTCGGGCCTGATGTTGATTGCTGAGGCGTGGGCCTTAGGAGCGTGGGCTAGATCCGAAACTTGTCAACGGACCGAGACGAAGCGGGATGAACAGTGGACCGCATAGGAGTTAGGGCAGCCTAGATGGGAAGCGGGTAGTGAGCTTTCGATGCAAAGCAGGCCAAGTTGGACGAATGATGGATGGGCGCTTATGAGAGCCCAGGCTGGAGGCGGTCGCTTGGCCCTCTGGATTCGAGGCGGGCCGCACGGAACGGGCTTAGGGCTCGTGTGAGGCCTTGTCGCAAGGCGGACCTGGTATAATGGATGTACAGAGGGACAAGCGAGGTTGAATGTTGTTGGACCGTCGGGAACTTTGTATAATCCTCCACTGAACTGAGAAAATGTGGTGTCTATACGGGAACTTTGTATAATTCTTTACATAAAGAGATATACAAGGGGGGCAACTGTAGACACCCCATTTTGTCCGGGTCAATTACTCAACTAAAAATTCTAATTAATCTTTAAATGTCGTAAGATAATTAGGTTGGCCACTAGATTGACCATTGCGAGTCTAAAATATCGACGATTGTATAAATTATTCAAATTCGATTCAAGTGGATTAATAGGACCGATTGGCTTCCAATTTACGCTTTCGGCCCAACACAGAAAATACAGAAGAAGAATAAAGTTTTATTTAAATTATCAATAAATTATACAATTACAATCAGAATACAAATTACAAATAAGAATTACTACATGAAAATTACAATCAATACATGTTTCTTCCATCTCTTTTTGAAGCCAGCAATGGACCTGCCAAACAACAAGAAATGAGACAGTCTATTCAGACCCAGAACCAAGACAAGTCCAGAAGATCATAGCCCACAGTCAGACCCAAGAGAGCCCAAGATCTCATGGGTCAGATCCTGACCAGCCCAGGAAAGGCCCAACCCAACGAACCGGTCGAACCAAAAATGGTTAGGCCGAGCTCAGACACCACCGTCTCAACTTGCTATAAAAGGAGGCACAATTCTCAAGGAAAGGAGGCCTTTGAGAAAAAAAACACTTCTTTCTTTGTCAGTGCTAGCTTCTTCTTTTTGATAGTCAAATCAGAGTCATTCTGTTCTTAGTCTGGTCAGAGAAGGGAAACGCTGGGAAATTAGAAAGAGAAATACATATATATTGTTTTTGTCCTTTATTTTCTGTAAAATAGAAGCAGAAGACCTCAAGGCAAACATAAGCCGCCCAAAGAGGTTTGTATTGAGCAAAACCCAGGTTTATATTCCAGTTATGATAATATACTAATGATTTATTATCATCTCTACTACTCTTCCTTTTTTCAATATCATTCAATTATTATCATTATCAGCATATCTTTCTTCACAATATACTCTTTAAAAATCAATCAACTCTTATCGAACTACACTGTAACCAAATTGAGTTAAAAGAGTGATTGAAAGCTAATCAAATCCGAGATTTACATTATCAGTTCTTCCATTCATCTCTGTTTTATTCTCGGCCCATTTATCTACTTATTTCAAGCACAATTAATTTACTAACTAATTAGTCATAATAGCATATAACTATCTCTACTCTTATGTTAAGCTAATTACTAATTACTTATTATGCTATTTACTCTCTGTTATTTACTAGTTCGTTTATATATGTCATATTTCAATTCTCGCATCATTTTTGCACATACATAAACACAGATAATGCATCCATGGAATGAAAACCAAATCTCACATATTCATCACATCCCACCCACAAACACCAGATCACAATCCCAAAATACCAGATCTGTGAACCTTTCTCAAATCAACAACATGATTCACTTTTCCGGTTTTATCTCTCCAGCCGTAGTAAACTGAGTTTAGGAAAAACTCACCTAGATCTAAGCCATCTCCGAAACCTGCATCCCAATAAATCAAACCATCAGTCAGAAATAGAAACAAACCGAAACCCTTTAAAACCCACATAAAACCACAAAAATACTCACAGCAAAAAAGGTCGACCGTCGACTTTTCCCCTCTCGCACCAATATCGGAGAATCTCGCTGGCCGGAGACTCCTTTCTCCCCTCGATCAAACCCAAAAATAAAAATGGGGAGAAGGTTAGAAACATGCTCGAACACCAAAAACCCAGAAAATCAAACATGCAAAACCATAATCCGCCACTTACCGTCGGTCTAGTCTCCGTCGGCGACTCCCTCTTCTCCCCTCGTCCGCCATTAAGCCCAGAAAAAAGCAGAAAGGGTGAGAACCCGAACTCCCCCAAAATCGGGATAAAAAAATCGAGAAAACAAACATGCATGTCAAAGAGGTTTACCCGATTTTTGATTCTTCATTATCGTCACCATTTAAACGAGAAAACGAACGGATTGAGAGTAGAGGTGCAGGGCGGCCATGGATTTGGAGTTGGGTTCGTTTTTCCTCTAACGATTAGAGTGGGTTCCGGATACGAACATGAGAGAAGGTGAGAGAAAGAATGGCGGCGATTTTGAGAGAGTGATTTTTTTTCGTTCTCTGGAGAAGAAAGGAGAAATGAAGGGGAGAGAGAGTAGAAAAAATGAGAGGGCAAGGTAGAGAGAGAGAGGGGAGCGGCCGTTCGCCCAGCTGCTAGGTTAGGTTAGATTAGGGTTTTTATTCAGTTAAAGCTCACTTATATACCTCTGGCCTCAACGTAAATGACCAATCTACCCCTCCAAGCCTTAAATCGTAAAAATGTACCTTCGTGGTTTCGAACCGACGACCTTCACCTCATTACTCACCACCACTCTCCACAACAAACCATTGAGCTACATCACAATTCTTGAACCTTTTAGGCCCTTCGTCTAGTTTTATTCCTTATCATGCTTAATACATAATCAATTAAACGTATAAGAAATTTTTATCTAGTTATATCGTCATTATTTTCATACATCAGAATCTTCTAAATATCTTTTTCACTACGTCATTACGCATTTGTATTTTTTTTTCTTCTAAAGATTCAATAAAATTAAATTATGGTTAATAGATTATGATTATTTTTGTAGTGTAATCTTTCCATAATCATTAATCAATTGAGTCCAACTAATCATAACTTTTTATTTCTCGAGATGTATGTCAATAGACATGAATCTCATCGTATGTCGATAGCATACGAAATTTATTTTAACTCAATAGTCCAATAGGACTTTAAATTAAATCACTAACAATTTAAACACTCAACCATTTAAAACTTATCGATTTAAGTAGTACCAATTTTGGGCGTTGTGGGGTGTGAATACACTTCCCCACACGTAACCGTACTCCCGAACACCCAAATCTCCAATATTCGCAGACCAAATCCTGGTTTAGACCGATAGGTCGAACCGGGACCAACGGTGTTCGATCCACCAATATATGATCGATGGCGACTCCGAGCAATTCGCGACGGATACCCCGATCTTGAGGGGCGGTTGCCACAGTGGCGACTCCGCTGGGGAATTTTTTGAGAGTCGAGCTACACAATAAATCGATAAGCTTTTCTTACTTTCTTTTTGGGTGTTATGTGTTTTACTATATTGTTTGAGCTTTTTATTTACTTTTTATTTCATTTTATTTCATACATAAAAAGCTCTATACCCGAGCTCTCCTTTAGAAATGGCAAGGTGTAACGTGACTCCTACAATAGTAGGGGAATACGTGAAACTTACTAACCAAGTTGAACTCAAATCCGAGGTTGATTTGAGGTATCCGGCTAAGCTTGAAAGAGCAATAGTAGGATACAACTTTGGTATTTTCCTAGATACCTTTACCAACCATTTAGTAAGTTTAGCAGCCGCCTAACACCATCTCGTATAAACCTTGTCGTCTAACCTTACAAATCTTATGTTTATTTAATTAGAGAATTTTTTTTTATTTAGATATACTTTTGCATATGATGTGATAATTTATGCATTATCAATTACTCATAAATAATGTGATTTTATTTTTCACATAAAAGCTTTTCAAAATGCATGACATTAGCAGTTTTCCTATTCAAACAAAAATCATAAAAAATAAAGTGCATACATCCATCCAGGTTATCTTTGCATTCATGCATTCAAATCATTTAGCACCATAAACAATTTAATAACAATAAATTTGCCAGGGTTCCTTAAAATTGCTCGTCTACGAGGAAAAAGTCAGCCTTCTAAGCACTTCACTAGATCAAAACTCAAGGTCTACATGGAGGCATTTCAGAAAGAGATAAACGACATCAATGGGAAGCTAACAGGGTTTGATGAGAAACTGACGGGATTTGATGAAAAACTGGCGGGTTTTGATGAGATGAAAGGTCAACTCAACACAATTTTGAGCATACTGTCAGGAAAAGGAAAGGGGGTTGCAACCAACGAAGAAGAAGCCATATTCGACGAAGAAGATCACTATGAACAACCTAAAATAGATGCCTCGAGTAGTAAATTTATTCTCATACCTTCGAAGAACATAGGTGAAAAAGATGGCATGGAGCAACCAAAGCATGACAAATCAGAAGAGAATGAGAAGCATGAGGAACATGGGGTTGATGCTATGGTAAAAGAAAAATTAGAGCACATGAATGAACGAATAAGAAGCATAGAGGGATTTGAATCCTATGAGCCTATGGATGCATCGCAACTATGTTTAGTCCCAGATGTCATAATTCCTCATAAATTTCAAATGCCTGAATTTGAAAGATACAATGGCACTACTTGCCCAAGAAGCCATCTAGTCATGTTTTGTAATAAAATGGCTAACTATATTCGTGATGAAAGGTTGATGATACATTGCTTCCAAAATAGCTTGAGCAGCCCCGCGCTTAGATGGTATATGCAATTAGAGAAAACGAAAGTGAAAAGGTGGCAAGACCTAGCCGATGCATTCATGAGGCATTACAAGCATAACCAGGATTTGGCCCCAGATCGGGAGGATATACGTAATATGGAAAAGAACGAGAAAGAATCATTCAGAGAGTATGCTCATAGATGGAGGGAGAAGGCGGCAGATGTTCAACCCCCGCTGTCAGAAAAGGAAATGGTGTCAATCTTCTTCGGAACATTGAGGGTTCCGTATTACAACAACATGGTGGGAATTACCACAACCAACTTTGCGGACTTGCTAGTAATTGGAGAGCGAATTGAAAAGGGATTGAAGCAAGGCCGGATGGAAAGTCCGGAAGCCTCAAAGAAACCATACCAAACTCGAAGGGGAGATGGAGAGATTCATTCTGCTCAAGAAGACTCATCCAGAAGAGGAAGGTGGAATCACCAACCTCAAGACAATCAAGCTAATCCCTATGTTTCAAATACCGCATTGATTACTCAACGTCCGAATTTTCCTACTCAATCACCAGTGGCACCACCACCAAATAACCAAGACCATAACAATTCTGGGAGATACAAAAACACCATCCAAATTTGTAACATCCCGTTCCGGCAAAACCCATATTTCGATCACTAGAAAGTTCGCGATTTAAAATCGAGCATTTCGGCACTATTTCGACAAAAATCGGATTATCAATCGATCGGATAAGTATACGTATTAATTATATATATATATAATATATATATTATATATATATATATCATTAAAGCGACCGGGCCATATATATAACCTCCTGTCCATTTAATTCATATCATCATCATCTATTCCATTTTGCACCGAGAGGCAAAAACCAGAGCGAGCGGAGAGGCGCACAGGGCATCGCGAGGGGAGATTCCCAAGCTCGATTCTTGAGCTACACTGATCCAAAAATCCCGTAAGTAATGCCTAATTCATCTATATATCGTGATTTATCGATTTAGAGCTTTAAAACGAGTTTTTGGTTCAGGAATTTCTCGAATTCCCGATAAGCCAAATTAGGGTTTCGGAGTATCCGGAAGCCGGATTGAGCCCAAATTTCATATACGAGCTTCCTGCAGCGAGGTAATCAATCCTCTAGTTCTAATCCCTGAATTTCGGCTATTATTTAGGCCGGGGTCCAAACCGCTAAATTTAGCTCCGGCCAGGGTTTGATGTGTATTTATCGAGAATTTGACCCGGAGCCTAGAACTAATATTGACGGGGATACTGCAGGGGATATTAGGACGGTCTCGGATTTTAATTCGGGGTTCGTTCGTGAAATTGACATTTTAGTACGGGAAGGTTAAACCGGTGTTTGAACGACCAGAACTGGTGAGGGATTAGCACGGCATACCGGGTTTGTCGTATCACGATAATTATATTGATGCTTATAATGGACCTAGGTGAACTAGAATGGCATGATTAGGGGTGTATGAACTTTTGTGCTATATGATGAACCATGGATTGTTGTTTGATATTATGGACTTGCCCTAATCGATATGGACCTTGTTTATTTCGATGATTGCATACATGTTGCCATTTGTGGCTTAACTGTTGATATGACTTCCTGGTTGTTCGATAAGGTGTTTTGACATGATGTGATATTATGGTTGTATTTGGATCCATAAGTGAGGGAATAAACTTCCCAGGGTGATATTATGATGTTCTAGGAGGATGACTTGCACGAGGGTTTATCCCGAGGAAGTGCAATTATACGACTCCTGATTTACATATGTTGAGCCAATTGTGGCCGGGTCAAGTACATGTTGAAGTAACGAATTATGATTAAGCAAGATGAGATATGAATCATGTATAAGGATACCAAATATGAGTGTTATGGTCTCACGGTCAACTACATAGTAATTAGGGCTCCCTATGCTATTACTCTATTATGATATGTATGATAGTCACACCTCTCATGTGGTGGTGACTGAAGAATTCTTACGAGATATGACCACACCCAGAGTGGTGTCGGGGTATGACTACACCCATAGTGGTGTGGGGTATGTATGACCACATCCGACGGGATGTTGGGGTATGTATGACTACATCCGACGGGATGTGGGGTATGTTTCCCGGGAGAGTTATTAGCATGGGAGTAGCCAGGCGCCTATGATTAAAACATGATAAGATGCATATGCATAAGTCAAGGTGGTTGAGTCTTTTGCCTATTGGGATGTCGGATGCCTGAGGTCTGATCCTAGTGTTTTGGTTTGTTTGCTAGATGTATGGTAGAGGTATGCTCTGTTATGAACTCACGATGCTATGATTATCTCACTCAGCTATGAGCTGACCCTCTTTATCCTTTTTCTCTGCTTATGCCATGTGTAAGCAGATCATCATCAGCAGCAGTAGATAGGTGTATAGGTGGGAGCTGAGCAAGAGTTGAAGGCAAGATGAGGTATGGTCTTCAACTATTCTGTGTTTGGACTACTACTCGGGATTTTGGCCAGTGATCCACACCTTTTTGTAAAAATGTTTTGAGAATGTTTTTCATGTGCATATTAGCTTCTGGTGTAGTGTGAGATATCCACAGGTTTGGAAAGTTGATGATATGTGTATATGTTGTGTAACTATGTAAGTTGTGACGATTATGGTATGTATAAGTATGGTATGCAGTTGTGGAGTATGAAAAGTGTGGCTATGGCTAAGAAAAGCCAATGCATATGGTTGTGAGTATATAAGTTTATGATAAATTATTTTGCAGGATCAGATGGAAGAACTGTTAGCCCATTACGCGAGTAATTCATGTCGAAATTTTATTTGAGTAAATTTTGATAATTAATGTAA